AAATTTATTCTGCTGTATATTGTTCAACATGTTGTATTGCTTCAACCTAAAAAGATTCTAAATCAGGGTTTTCCAACCTTGGTAACTTTAGGATGGGTAGGCAACCTTGGCTCTTTTATGACTCGTGGACTTCAACTCCCAGAATTCTTGAGCCAGCCATGCTGGCTCAGGAATTCTGGGAGTTGAAGTCCACGAGTCATAAAAGAGCCAAGGTTGCCTACCCCTGCTTTAAGATGTGTGAACTTCAACTCCTAGATTCCCATCCTGGGTGAGGAATTCTGGGAGTTGAAGTTCCTACGTTTTAAAGTTGCCTAGGTTGAAAAATAGTGTTTTAAATCTAAAGGGTGTGCTATCTAACAGAACACGAAGTTTTATTGGCTTGAAAGTAAGTTCTTAAGATGATCCTTTAGATCTTAATTATAAAAATGCAAGTAGAGCATCCAAAAAGCTGAAGGGCTTCAGATGTGAAAGTAGATCTTGCTTTCCTGATGGTTTTATAGCCAAACCAAATGACCGGACTTTCTTGAACTGTGCATATGCATTAGTTCTCAAATGCTATAATCTCACATTTTTCAATGAAACTAGAGAAGAGAAAGGAATTTAGCTAGGAAATAGACAATTTATTGCAGGAAGACTCTTCCTCCACTGTTGTTCAAATAGAACATAGATGGAAAGCAATGAAAAAAGTTAACTTGAAAATATTATTCCATAATCTAAAAGCTAAGCAAGGATACATCTTAAATGTTATGAAGCCAAATTGTGATCAGCTTTACTATCTTTGCTTAATATGGTATTAAAGGATTGTACTGTTATTAAAGGAGTGACCTGTAACCTTTCACTATACTTTGCTCTCTGAAAATGCTTTTAAATTTGTAGCACAAATTGAATTGCCTAATCAGGTTTACTGATATATAAAGATATCCTAATATTACACTGTTGTAACATATTTGAAATCTCCAGTTTCCATGGCAGCAGCTGCCCAGATTTTTTAAAAATAAATTGCTTTATATGAGGCTAGAATTCCCATTATAACATTTGCTGCAAAAATTCTTAGTGGGAGTAAGCACAGAAAAATTCTTTGGTGTAAAAATTCAGATCTTAAAAACAAACTCTACTCTGTCTTATACAAAGCTTCAAGTTCTTAAAATGTGTTCTAATTTATCTGTAAAATGCAGAAAAAGGAATACTTATTCATTTGGGCTTCCTATCAAAACCAGGATATTTGCTGTAGTATACTTCTGCTGTCATATTAGATTAAACAGTAGAAATAAATAGGATGATGGATGTACATTTGATGGATGTAAATGCTAAACAGAAGAAGAACCAAGCTTCAATCAATTAGGCCATTAATAATATGTTAGGAATATTTAAACTTTCTTATAGTGCAAGAGAGAAATGTGTTGGTATTATAACAGCTCATTGACCATTTTTATCATTGCTGCTCAATTTTTGGCAAAACAATGTGATAGTTTGAATTATTTAATATCTAACATGAGATGTGAAACTGTTTTGCAGTGACACTATGGAAGACAGAAAAACATTGGATTCAGAAAGTAAAACAACAGAAGTTACTTCTACTTCTACTGGTAGGTGTTAAAAAAATATGTCATAAAGTGTTTTCGTAATTATTCTGTTGTGACTTTTACATAAAGGTCCCAAAACCAATCTAAGTCCACTTGAAGGTAAGAGAAATAGTTTGAGAGATCCATGACAGGGTAGTTTCCTCCAGCTTGTCCTTTTCTGTGCCCAAGACATCTCACTACATCTATTCTTGATCAGCCTGCAAATTCTTGGTAGTCCTTCACTTACAACAGTTCATTTAGTGACCGTTTGAAGCTACAATGGCACTGAAAAAAGTGACTTATGACCATTTTTCCCACTTATGAACATTGCAGCATCCCCATGGTCATGTGATCAAAATTCAGGTGCTTGGCAACTAACTCACATTTATGACGGTTGCAGTGTCCTGGGGTCATGTGATCAACTTTTGCAACCTTATGACAAGCAAAGTCAATGAGGAAGCCAGATTCACTTTACAACCGTGTTATTAATTTAACAACTGCAGTGATTCACTTAAGAAATGTGGCAAGAAAAGTCATAAAATGGGGGTAAACTCACTTAACAAATTTCTCACTTAGCAACATAAATTTTGGGCTCAGTTGTGGTCGTAAGTTGAGGGCTACCTGTATAGTGTTTAAAATCCCTAATGAAAATAACCAAAGGTAATTTTATTTATCTTATGATTACATTTGCTTACTGTTAATGCTAATGTTTTAATTGAGCCATTTGCTATATGTCAGTGATGGCGAACCTTTTAGAGACTGAGTGCCCAAAAACTGGCCTCGCCCCAGCTCCACACCCCCCACCTGCCCCCGCTCTGCCCCCCATCCCCCACCCCGCCTACCCACAGGACCACTCACTGCCTCCAGGGCCCGCCGCAGATCGCCCAGGCAGCCCAGCAGCCCTATGGCAGCCACACCCTCTGCCTGCGCCCCGCAGCATCAACTGTGCGTGATGGGGCGTGAGGGCAGAGTCTTGTCTATGCTGCCTGGCTGCCATGTCCTTGGCTGCGCTGCTCCGTGTGGGCCATGCTTGGGCGTGACTCTCCTTCAGGGGGGCTGCTGGAGACGAGGGGGTCGCGGGGGGAGGCAAGGCTGTGGCAACGGCACGTGTGCCCACAGAGAGAGCTCTGAGTGCCGCCTCTGGCACCCGTGCCATAGGTTCGCCACCACTGCTATATGTACAGACACTTCCTTCTTGCCTTGAAACTTTAGGATATAAATTCAAAAGAAGCTGACTTGCTAGCAAATACCTTTTTTATTATAAATTCCATTAACGTAGCTTTCACACCAATTACTAATTATAAATAAAAAAACACTATTTTTAAAATAAACATTGGAATACTTCTTACAGATTGATTGGAGAGAATGGCTCAGCTAGAACAGATGTCTTTTTTTGCTTTTCCTTTTTTTAAAATGTTCATACTACATTTAATATTGTCATTGAATTGCCTCTTTTTGGCATATACTGTTATAGCACGATATGCTACTACATCAAAAAAGGATTCCTAAGCATTTTACAAAATGATTTTGGAGCTAATTTATACATTGAACAGATTATAGAAGGAATTACCTTTTCAGATATCAATTTTGAATCATAGGATTAAATTTGTACAGTGTTTTGTTTAAAAATACATAAAGAGCAAAATTATTGTTACAGAAAACGTCAGCAAAGGAAAACCCCTCATCTATATGGTAAATCCTTGATTCAGTGGGTAATAGGGAAATGTTTGTTAAATTGAGGCTTTAGTCCAGTGGTGGCGAACCTGTGGCATGTGTGCCAGAGGTGGCACTCGGAGCCCTCTCTGTGGGCACACGTGCCATTGCCCCAGCCTCGCTTCCCCCCACGACCCCCTCCTGACCAGCAGCCCCCCTGAGGAGTCGCCACTGAGAGTGGCCCACACGGAGCAGTGCAGCCAAGACGTGGCAGCCAGGCAGTGTAAACAAGACTCTGCACTCACGCCCCATCGTGCACAGTTGATGCTGCGGGGCGCGGGCAGAGGGCGTGGCTGCCATGGTGCTGCTGGGCTGCCTGGGAGATCTGTAGCGGGCCCTGGAGGCGGTGAGTGGCCCTGCGGGCAGGCAGGGTGGGGGACTGTGGGGGTGGAGCAGGAGCAGGGCAGNGGTTTACCAGGGTTGCCAGACATATGAACACAGAAGGACAATCTTGGCACAAGAGAAGCGAGCACTCCGTAAAGCCAGAGCTGCAAATGCTGAAGCAATAGTGTCCACATTTCTCTGTTCAGTATGTGGCAGAACATTCCGTGCTAACATCGGTCTCATCAGCCATCTACGGACACACCGTTGATGGCCCATAATCCATGAGATGTCAAGGTCTTCATCAAAATCGATGGACGAACAACATATATTCTAGAACATAATGTGTCCCAACTTCAGTGATTCAGAATGACATAGTGCTCTCTCATTCTAATCCAGTGGTTCTCAACCTTTTTAATGCCGCGACCCCAACAGGTCGTAAGTCGAGGACTAAACCGGTCGTAAGCTGATGACTAAACCGGTCGTAAGTTGAGGACTAAACCGGTCGTAAATCGAGGACTACCCAACCGGTCGTAAGTCGAGGACTTTCCCTGCCCAGGAACGCCGCGCATGCGTGGTTCCGCCCCCTGCGCCGGCCGAGGCGTAGCTGGCAAGCGGCAGAGACAGAGCAGGCCGACCACCAGCTGGCCCAGTCCAAGGGAGGTAAGGCACCCGCCGGAAAAGGGGGAAAAAATGCCAGACAAAAAAAATGGCGGACAGCCTTGCTTGGCAACCCCCATGAAATGGTCAATCGACCCCAAATGGGGTCCCGACCCACAGGTTGAGAACCACTGTTCTAATCTATGTTGAAAACAGGCATAAAGATAAAATACGGGCTGAAAACAGACATTAAGCTAAAAATGGACTGTTTTTTTTTTTATTCAAAACCCTCCTCCTTCCCCAGTTCCTATGTATTGGCGGAAGCAGTGCAGCAACCTAAATTTTGTGAAGCCAGCGCTTGAAATCAGGGGGACCTTGTCAGGGGACGCAGTAATTCGTTGTGTTTGTCCCGAGGCTTATAATCGAAGGCTAACTCTAACACAGAGTTAGGCAAGGCAACTCCCCCCCCCCCCACGCCCCAAACTCTATGGTCTTTTCTACAGCGGTCTCCGAGTGTTAAGTATTTTAAGCGTCGCTCTGGTAGGCGAGAAGGTCAGTGGCAAAAACTACATGTTCCACGTTGCACTAAAGCAGAATAAGGCGGGGCGGAAACTCATTTTTTTTTTCTCTAATTGGGTAATAGTCTGTGACGTTATTTAAATCAACCAATGAAATGGAAGAAAGTGACGGGAGAGGTGGGTTGAGCGGCCATTTCAAATGGAAGTGCGGATAACTCCAAGGAGAAGAATGGAGTTTTCCTTTGATTCCCTTCGGAGGTGAATTCGAATTTAGTCGCGAGGTTGGGGGTTACATTTCGGGCTGTATGCAAGCGACAAGCGGTGCCGTAGCGAAACCTTGCCCAGCTCAGACAAGAAAACCGGACTAGGTGCGCATCCTCCGAGGAGTGTCCATTTTATTCGTGAACGGTCGACGAAGGGCTTTGTACGGGTAGCTGGTCTGGTGGTGGAGGGCGCACGTAAAGCCTGGGGGGTGGTTGGGCGGGATATGGAATATAAAAGTGGCAGAGGGCAGTTTATTAGAGCAGGAAACGTAATGGGATCTTTAGTCACCTCCCCGCAAAAGGCGATGGAATTTGTCTAGTTTTATTTATTTATTCAATTTATAAGGCACCTGATCGCAAGAGACACTATAGTTATGAAGAACAAACCGATTCTTTCGAGGGAAAGACTTTTTGCTGTTTTGACCCCTGCAAAATTTATTCTGTATATTGCTCAACGTGTTGTATTGCTTCAACCTAAAAAGGTTCTAAATCAGGGTTTCCCAACCTTGGTAACTTTAGGATGTGTGAACTTCAACTCCTAGATTCCCATCCTGGGTGAGGAATTCTGGGAGTTGAAGTTTCTACGTTTTAAAGTTGCCTAGGTTGAAAAATAGTGTTTTGAATCTAAAGGGTGTGCTATCTAACAGAACACGAAGTTTTATTGGCTTGACAGTAAGTTCTTAAGATGATCCTTTAGATCTTAATTATAAAAATGCAAGCAGAGTATCCAAAAAGCTGAAGGGCTTCAGATGAAAGTAGATCTTGCTTTCCTGATGGTTTTATAGCCAAACCAAATGACAGGACTTTCTTGAACTGTGCATATGCATTAGTTCTCAAATGCTATAATCTCACATTTTTCAATGAAACTAGAGAAGAGAAAGGAATTTAGCTAGGAAATAGACAATTTATTGCAGGAAGACTCTTCCTCCACTGTTGTTCAAATAGAACATAGATGGAAAGCAATGAAAAAAACTAACTTGAAAATATTATTCCATATCTAAAAGCTAAGCAAGGATACATCTTAAATGTTATGAAGCCAAATTGTGATCAGCTTTACTATCTTTGCTTAATATGGTATTAAAGGATTGTACTGTTATTAAAGGAGTGACCTGTAACCTTTCACTATACTTTGCTCTCTGGAAATGCTTTTAAATTTGTAGCACAAATTGAATTGCCTAATCAGGTTTACTGATATATAAAGCTATCCTAATATTACACTGTTGTAACATATTTGAAATCTCCAGTTTCCATGGCAGCAGCTGCCCAGATTTTTTAAAAATAAATTGCTTTATATGAGGCTAGAATTCCCATTATAATATTTGCTGCAAAAATTCTTAGTGGGAGTAAGCACAGAAAAATTCTTTGGTGTAAAAATTCAGATCTTAAAAACAAACTCGACTCTGTCTTATACAAAGCTTCAAGTTCTTAAAATGTGTTCTAATTTATCTGTAAAATGCAGAAAAAGGAATACTTATTCATTTGGGCTTCCTATCAAAACCAGGATATTTGCTGTAGTATACCTCTCCTGTCATATTAGATTAAACAGTAGAAATAAATAGGATGATGGATGTACATATGATGGATGTAAATGCTAAACAGAAGAAGAACCAAGCTTCAATCAATTAGGCCATTAATAATATGTTTGGAATATTTAAACTTTCTTATAGTGCAAGAGAGAAATGTGTTGGTATTATAACAGCTCATTGACCATTTTTATCATTGCTGCTCAATTTTTGGCAAAACAATGTGATAGTTTGAATTATTTAATATCTAACATGAGATGTGAAACTGTTTTGCAGTGACACTATGGAAGACAGAAAAACATTGGATTCAGAAAGTAAAACAACAGAAGTTACTTCTACTTCTACTGGTAGGTGTTAAAACAATATGTCATAAAGTGTTTTCGTAATTATTCTGTTGTGACTTTTACATAAAGATCCCAAAACCAATCTAAGTCCACTTGAAGGTAAGAGAAATAGTTTGAGAGATCCATGACAGGGTTGTTTCCTCCAGCTTGTCCTTTTCTGTACCCAGGACATCCCACTACATCTATTCTTGATCAGCCTGCAAATTCTTGGTAGTCCTTCAATTACAACAGTTCATTTAGTGACCGTTTGAAGCTACAACAGCACTGAAAAAAGTGACTTATGACCATTTTTCCCACTTATGAACATTGCAGCATCCCCATGGTCATGTGATCAAAATTCAGGTGCTTGGCAACTGACTCACATTTATGACGGTTGCAGTGTCCTGGGGTCATGTGATCACCTTTTGCAACCTTATGACAAGCAAAGTCAATGAGGAAGCCAGATTCACTTTACAACCGTGTCATTAATTTAACAACTGCAGTGATTCACTTAAGAAATGTGGCAAGAAAAGTCATAAAATGGGGGTAAACTCACTTAACAAATTTCTCACTTAGCAAAATAAATTTTGGGCTCAATTGTGGTCGTAAATTGAGGACTACCTGTATAGTGTTTAAAATCCCTAATGAAAATAACCAAAGATAATTTTATTTATCTTATGATTACATTTGCTTATTGTTAATGCTAATGTTTTAATTGAGCCATTTGCTATATGTACAGACACTTCCTTCTTGCCTTGAAACTTTAGGATATAAATTCAAAAGAAGCTGACTTCTAGCAAATACCTTTTTTATTATAAATTCTATTAATGTAGCTTTCACACCAATTACTAATTATAAATAAAAAAACAATATTTTTAAAATAAACATTGGAATACTTCTTACAGATTGATTGGAGAGAATGGCTCAGCTAGAACAGATGTCTTTTTTTGCTTTTCGTTTTTTTAAAATGTTCATACAACATTTAATATTGTCATTGAATTGCCTCTGTTATAGCACGATATGTTACTGCATCAAAAAAGGATTCCTAAGCATTTTACAAAATGATTTTGGAGCTAATTTATACATTGAACAGATTATAGAAGGAATTACCTTTTCAGATATCAATTTTGAATCATAGGATTAAATTTGTACAGTGTTTTGTTTAAAAATACATAAAGAGCAAAATTATTGTTACAGAGAACGTCAGCAAAGGAAAACCCCTCATCTATATGGTAAATCCTTGATTCAGTGGGTAATAGGGAAATGTTTGTTAAATTGAGGCTTTAGTCCAGTGGTGGCGAACCTATGGCACGTGTGCCAGAGGTGGCACTCGGAGCCCTCTCTGTGGGCACAAGTGCCATTGCCCCAGCCTCGCTTCCCCCAACGACCCCCTCCTGACCAGCAGCCCCCCTGAGGAGTCACCCCTGAGAGTGGCCCACACGGAGCAGTGCAGCCAAGACATGGCAGCCAGGCAGTGTAAACAAGACTCTGCACTCACGCCCCATCGTGCACAGTTGATGCTGCGGGGCGCGGGCAGAGGGCGTGGCTGCCATGGTGCTGCTGGGCTGCCTGGGAGATCTGTAGCGGGCCCTGGAGGCGGTGAGTGGCCCTGCGGGCAGGCAGGGTGGGGGACTGTGGGGGTGGAGCAGGAGCAGGGCAGNGAAACACAGCTGGTAATATTTGGTTTTAATTCGGCTTTTATCGGGGTTTATTTTTTGTATTTCTGTATTTTTGTATTTTGTATTTTTTGTATTTTGTGTATACTATTTGTTTTTAATATGCTGTGAACCGCCCTGAGTCCTATGGGAGAAGGGCGGTATACAAATTAAATTATCTATCTATCTATCTATCTATCTATCTCTAAAAGGTTCGCCATCACTGCTTTAGTCTAACAATTGATAAGGGAAAGCTGATGAGTACAATAAGCATTAAATATGTCATCTTCTCCAACCCCTTAGCAGCTCCTTGTGAAGCATATGCCACCAATTCCAAATCTTTTCTGCCCCGATCTCTCCTCAGTCGCTACTCTTGATGTATTGCTATATGACTTTCAGAGTAACTCCAAGTGAGTTGGGCATTCATCGGATTAATATGAATAAATAAATCTTTCAACCCTCTGAATATCTGTTAAGCAGAGTCAATCCATTAAATTGAAAGTTCATTAAAACAATGCCTATTTTAGCTACATGGTACAATAATTTGAAGGTTTACAGCAGGGGTCCCCAATCCCTGGTCTGTGGACTGGTACCAGGCCGTGGCATGCCAGCAACCGGTCCACACAAACAAAGCCCCATCGTGGGATGCAGACAATACACAAAACCATGCACCCTTCAGTCTGTAGAAAAACCTCTCTCCGCGGAACCGGTCCCTGGTGCCCAAAAGGTTGGGGACCTCTGATTTACGGAATAATAATTTGGTTCCTATAGAAAAAAGTGAATCCCAGATGTATGTTTATTAAATTTATATGCCACCCATATCACCAATAAGGCAACTCCAATAAAGGTTATAAGTGTTATAATAGCAATCTATGATGTTCTATTGTAATTTCAGATATTTACCTCCTGACTGAAGAAAAATTTGATTTTGACCTTTCACTGTCTCCCACAAGGTAATATTAGTTTCAAAATCAAGATGCGTTAAGAGCAGAGAATAAAGTGTGCAGGTATCTGACTTAATTTCTCTCTGTCATAGCGAAAATGAAGATGAAGTTTTTGTTGGACCAGTGGGACATAAAGAAAAATGTATTGCTGTGCGCCTTGAATCCCATGAAGAGAGTCAAAAGAAAATTCAATCTCTGACATATGATCCAACCTGGAGCCCTCCTGCAGGAGATAAATTTGTGGAAATATTTAAAGAAGCGCACTTGCTAGCTTTCCAGCTTAAAAGTGGAAACAAAACAGAAAAAAATAACACTATTCATCTGAGGGGGGAAAAGACAGAGGGCGTTGACAAGTTTGTGAAAGAATCAAAGTCAAAACTGAAAATCCTTGAAAAAGAAATAGTGACAGATAAAACACCAACAACCACTAGAAGAGAGACATACTGTATATGGGAAAGCCCGAGCAGTCAACTGCTGCCTTCACTTCAGAAGCGTTTAGGGCAACCTGTTACAATAAGGGAGGGTCCACGTTCTCCCCGAGTGTCTCTGAACACACCAAGTCCTGCTAAAACAAATAAGCTACCTAAAATGCACACTGTATCCTCAGCCCATGCAAAGAATGACACAAACCTTAAAACAAGAAGCAAATTTCAGACTGTAAAAACATCACCTGCACTTAGGAATAACAGCTACGTAGCAGCAGGCGAGGTAAAGATTTTTTACATTATATCTAGGCTTTAAGTTGTGTCACAATATTAGAATCTAATTCTAATTAGAATATAATTTTCTGTTCCATTTGTATTTAAATCTATGGGTTCGTTAATATGTCTGCTTCTGTTTTTGAGAAAGCACGCAACTCTTTCTCCTGATTTTTAAGGTTATTGTTTGAACCTAAAATATCTCCATATTTCTGTGGTTGGTCAGAATGTGAGGTTAAAGTGATGGGTATTGCTAGACATAGTTTGAGGCTGGTGTGTAATTTATTGCTTATTGAAATGCTTAATGGTGTTACTGCAAAAATGCATTTAGCCTGACATTTGAAATGGAAGCTTAACTTGGAGATTGGGTGGGGGGAGGAAGCAAAACATTATAGATGCCAAGGAAGAGAGACAGAGGCTTTTTAAGATGGTTTATCAGCTGCTCCCACAAATTTCTTGAAATGTAGTTAGTTCTGCTTTAATCTAAACCAGTGGTTCTCAACCTTTTTAATGCTGCGGCCCCAACCGGTCGTAAGTCGAGGACTAAACCGGTCGTAAGTCGAGGACTAAACTGGTCGTAAGTCGAGGACTTTCCCTGCCCGGGAGCGCCGCGCATGCGTGGTTCCGCCCCCTGCGCCGGCCGAGGCGTAGCTGGCAAGCGGCAGAGATGGAGCAGGCCCAGCCCAAGGGAGGTAAGGCACCCGCTGGAAAAGGGGGAAAAAATGGCGGACAAAAAAAATGGTGGACAGCCTTGCTTGGCGACCCCCATGAAATGGTCGATCGACCCCAAATGGGGTCCCGACCCACAGGTTGAGAACCACTGATCTAAACAGACCTTAAAAGGTTCTAGTTCAGATTTTCCCAAACCTTTTTTTTTGTGCCTGATTATGGTACATGAATATGACCTGGTATGAGTGGGGCAGCAGCAGAAAGGAGCTATGTCTTCATAAGAAGAGATAATGCAAAGCAGAAGATCTGCCTTTTTCAATTCAAAGTCATCCCAAAGGTTGACCAGGTCACACCATTATGTTCATCAAGTTATGACTGAAATGTATCTTTGAATTCATGCTGGTTCAATACAGTCTACATTTTCAACTGTATTTCAGACAGTTGTATACATAGGGGAGTAGGGAGAGCATAAATGAATTGGATTTCATAATATTGGAATGTTTACAGTAGTAGCCAAAATTGTGGAAACCTTTTGGGAAAAGTGTATTTTTGAGGTTTGATGGCTAATAACACCACTTTTTTGGGAGTAGTACCATAAAATTATATATCAATGGAAAGATAATTTTTTTTGTGCTTTTTCATTTAGTGAGCTTGTAAAACGTAATAAAATTAAAGTAATGGTGCAAAGAGTTGACCGGTTGCCCAGAAAGCGATGTAAAACAGTATTATTAAGTGAACAAGGCTACAGTTATAAAGAAATTAGAAGAAAAAATTGGTGGAAACTTAACCAAAAGTGGCATTTCTACTGTACACTTTTCCCAAAAGGTTTCCACAATTTTGGCCACTACTGTAATATTTGCATTCTAATAACACCTCATCTGATCTCCTTAACTATTGGTCTGGGTATAGTTTGATGGCAGAACTATTCAAGACAGTTTTCATTTAATGGAAAGAATGTAAGATTTTGGTATATTTCTAATATTTGTTTTAAAAATATTTCAAATCCAAATCTTGCAGCCTAAACAAGGACAATTGCCCAGTTCTTCCAACATGATTTATTCAAATAGTATGGGATCATCTGAAGATTTGCTCTCTGACAAATCAAGTATAGCTTCAGATGCAGGAGAATTGTCATTTTCTACCAGCTCATCCATGCAAAGCAAGAGAACTCTTCCTACTCCCACCAAGGTGAATATTCTTTAATTAATCATTAATTGGATTTGGATGTTGAAATATCTGCCATTTCAATATTTTATCTGAAAGTACTTTTTATCATAATGTAAGCTGCTCAGAACCTCTGTATCAGTAAGATGGGGACATAAAAATTTAATTAAAAAATACATTTTAACTGGTGTGTCTTTGAAAGCTCTTTAGATTTTCTCCCATGCAATGAATCAACGTGGCAAAAAAAAAAAAAAAATACCCACTGATGCAGAAATGTAATTTGCAAAGTAGTAAAGTAGTACTGTGTAATTTGACCTCATTTCTTGTACTAAACAGAAGAAAATCCATATGCTATATATAATGCAGTGTTCACCAAACTTTCTGTGGACCCGGGGGGGGAGAAGACATGGTTTCGTGTCTGTGCCGCTTGCTTGGCCCGGTTCCCAATAGGCTGCAGCCCAGCAACAGACTGTGGACCAGGGTTTAGGGACCCCTGCTATAAGAGAGTGGAAGAGATGGGCATGTGCTAATAATTGAAATTATCCAGGTAGAGAGCTGCAATTTGATGAGGATAAAATTCAAAGCACAATGGTAAGACCAATATACCTGATTATATTTCTATGGCATACAGCCAAATCATTTATCATTGTCTTTACAGTTGGAAATGAAGACAAGACAACTGAAACCTCCTAATAATGTTCATATGCGAAGAAATACTTCATCTTCCTCCTCGTCCTCTATTTCCAGCATGAATTCAAGTTTGAATTCAAGTCTGTCAACTTCTCCTAAAAGAGGAAATGGTAATTACTCAATTGTCGTTTGATTCTAGTGCATAGTATGGAACTGGGAACTGTAACTTAATGAAAACATGTTCAAGTAATCAGACTTGGACACTGAGTGGGGAATGCAGGAGCCACAGCTATTCATACAAGACAAAATATGTGTTGAAGTATGACAGTGATGCTTCTCTTGAGTAAATTCTTCAACAGCATTTTAAAAATGAGAAATTTAACATCTGAAATTTAAATATGTTAAAACTGAGCGTAAATTTATCATAACACAAAAGACAAATATAATAAATCACTGCTCTATCTTCATCTGCATTGTGACTGAGTAAACCTCATTTGTTAGGATCAAATTAGTATCTATAAGAATGATACACATCTGAGGCTGAATTACTCATATGGTTTGATTGTATAGGTAATGTCTTAAAAATGATTTTTATGTTCATAGTAAAAAAAACCTAGGTTCGGATGCTATTTTAAGACACAAATAACCCTGGTGACCCAAATGGACGACACAGCAAGGAAGTATTCCTATTTTCTTACATGACTTCAGATACCTTTGTGATGGTAGTATCCTCCTGCACTGCTTAAGGAGGTTGGGTGAAGGATATTGGGGTACAGTAGCTCTAGTCCAGGGGTAGGCAACCTTGGCTCTTTTATGACTCGTGGACTTTAACTCCCAGAATTCCTGAGCCAGCCAAGCCTACCCCTGCTCTAGTCCAACCAGACTGATCACTTATAAAATATTATCTGTCCAAGGACTTATGGAATGCTTCAATCTATTTTTCCTTTCGTTCATGCATGCAGCATCATGACAAACATCTGTACTGAGCGGGGTGCAGTTTGCACCAGAAGCGCACAATATTATTTTTGTGATTTCATATACCAACATATGTTTATTGCCATCCAGAATATAAGGTCATTGTAGCAGGGACTGGTGCCTGTTTTTTTTAAAAAAAGGCTTTGGCTACAACAATGATAATGCAATCTGCTGTCTTCTTATTTCCTAGTCAAAACATGTGTTACAAAAGCTCCTGCAGACATCTCTAGGCGCTCTTCTGTAACAAGCAAGATTTCCATAGTTAAACCTATGAAAGGATTTTCAATGAATGCTGCCCACTCTGATGCATCTGGAAAACAACTCACACCCAGATGTGCTAAAGAAAATCCTGTGAATATACCCAAGTATAAAGCTACCCTGACATCTGAAAGTGCAAGCAGTAATCTGCGGAAAGGTTCAGATTCTAATCTTCAGAAATTACTACCGAAAAACACATTAGGAAATGCAAGTACAAGTTCAAGTCTTAAACTAAACTCTAAACCAGCAGCTCCAAACTTAAAGCGAGGTAAGGAAATTGTTCTTAATGCATTAAATTATGCTAACTTCTGGAGAGTGTTGATTCTGTGCTCAACGTGCTGTTGTATATGCTGGCCAAAAGGGATTAAAGGATTAAATTAAGCAGTTGAATACTTATGTGTCTAAGAAAATTAATATGCTTCAACTGTATTTTCTGCTTATATGTATTTTCAGAAAATGAAGCCACCAGAGTATTGCAATCAAACCCAGTATTATCTGGTAGCAATATTGAAAGGTATTTCTATATGATGATAGCTAATGATTTCCACTGCAATTGTTAATGTTCACTGAACTGTTCTGTAACATAGTTGATTAGAAACTGTGTTTTGGGTGTTGATAGAATCCAAATTGTTTAATTTCCTGTGAAAACTAACAAAGATGCTGTCAAGCTATCCTGCAGTGTTGTAATATCCATATACTTAGGTAAGTTCTGTTCTTGCAGAGAACTAGAAGCTTGTTAGAAACGTCAAATAATAAGAGGGCTAGGCAATTAGCAAGGCACAGTATAGCTTTAGGTTTGCCAGTTCAAATATTGCACTAAATAATTGTTAAGCTTAATTATCCATGGTTTGGGGGCAGTATCTGACTTGGAACCCTGTAAAATACAGGTAGTCCTTGCTGACCGACCACTTGTGCAGCAACCATTCAAACTTACAATGATGTTGAACAAGAGGTACTTAGGGCAGTCCTCATAGTTGTGGCCATCACAGCCTCTCCATGATTGTGATTTGGATACTCAGCAAATGGCTCGTGATGACAATGTCACAACGTCCCATGATTATGTGATCACTGCTTGCGACTTTCCTGCCAGTTTCTAACAAGCAAACAAGCCGGCAGGAGGTTGCAAATGGCAACCATGTGACCATGGGATACCATGACTGTATGGGATTTGCCCAACTGGAACTGCCAGAACTGCCGTCATAAGTTGGCAGGGTCCTTTGACACAATGCCTAGTAACTGCATTGCTTATTGTTGTAATTCCTGGTCCCAATTACCGTTAATAAACAAGGACTATCTGTATGTCTTTTGGAACCACTGTGATATGTTACCCTCCTAATATTTAAAATATCTTGAACATAACACGAAACGGCTACTAAAATAAGGACTCTTTTAGTTGTGAGTTTAGGTTTCTAAACTTCTCATGCTTTCTTAATCTTTGTAGCAATATTGCAGTTTCCACACCTGTCAAACAATTAGGAAGAACTGTATTAAAATCCTGCTCTGCTGTGAAGCCTTCTTTACGGACTCCAGACAGAAGGCATTCTACATTGCCCATGTCTGTTGGTCGATATACCTCAGGAATTCCAACACCGACTCCCAAAACAGTGCCCAGAAAAATGACATCTCCTAATAGTTTAGCTCTTCGTCACATCTCCAGTGTGTCTTCTAAAAAGACTATAGGAATGAGGTAAGTCTAGAAACAACCTCAACACTGTGGAGATTTCTGCCCTTTTTCTCCATTCCTGCAATTCCTGTTTATTAATATGCCCTTGGCTTATCACCGATTTCAGAAAATGCAAATTTTATTTATTATTATCAAATTTATACGCAGCCAGTTTGGTCTATTGATTAAGGCACCGGGCTAGAAAGTGGGAGATCATGAGTTCTAGTTCTGCCTTAGCTATAAAAGCCAATCTCTCTCTCAGCCCAGCTCACCTCACACAGGGTTGTTGTGGGGAAAATAGGACAAGAAAAATGTGTTGAGTATGTTTGTCATCTTGAGTTATTTGTAAAAAATAAAGGCAGGAAATAAGTTATAAAGTTGGTTATCTACCCGCAAAAGGGATTATGGCTCGAATTTTGAGTTGAATGTTGAGTGCAAGTTTAGCTATTCTTAGATAAGTTTAGCTATTCTTAGATAAAACTACAAGGTTTCTATATGGAATTCTCTGGCTCTGGAAAAGCATGAAATACACCCCAGAAAAGTGCAGGGTTTTCTATGACCCCATACTGGTATCCATCAGCTGAATGCATTGGAGTTATTCAGCTAATCAATCAATATACTGTGATTTATTACAATACAGACTTATGATTTACATATGATGTAACTATGTATTTGCCACAACAGTGTATTTCTGAGGGAAACTGTCAAGCTGTCTTTTTACTGTATTATTGTAATGGAAACCTGGATCCATGAGTTTTAAGGATTTCATCAAAGATACATTGCCTATTGAAACAAAAATCTTACAGTATCCTATTTATTTTAGTGTAAGTTTTAAAGACAGTCCATTTTTCGTGTAATTTTGTTTTCCTGCAGTATTGAGGTGAAGAAACAATTGCACGTACTGAGTAGAAATAAGTGAATTCTGCATAACAATGCTTTTTTTGCTGTTCCTGCCCAGTTCTAGGGGTTTGACTAAGAACAAGGCATGGATGTCTTCAAGCCCATCTTCAACAGAAGGAGACTTATCTCCACCACAAGTTATACCTATTGCACTTGCTTTTTCACCAGATAAACCTTTTATCGAAATAGCAGAAGACATTACTAAAAAAGGGAAAACAACAGAAGTAATACTAGCTAAGAAGGTAGGTTGGGTTTTATCTGCCACGTCAAAATACAAACCATGTATTACAGTAAAAATTAGTGCTGCAACTGCTGCTTGTGTTCAAAAGAATTTGAAAGATACTATCACCTCATATTGCACCTGTTATAGTCATATTTTACACTAGGAAGGTTCTTATGGTATTTCCATAATGCAGGATTTTGTTGGCCTTGCTTTTAAATGTGCTGTGCAGAGAGATGCATATCTCTTAAAAAGATTTTAAATGCAATTATTCCAAATGTTGGTTATATTAATAGTCCATCGGTGCCTCCTTTCAATACTTTGACACAAATATTCTTGTTAAGAACCAGTTTTTAGGAAAGGTGGGTGGGAAACTTATTTACACTGATGACTCATTAAGGGGAAAATTTGAATTAGATCACGCAAGCACTGAAATTAAAGGTTGGAGCAGCAGAATGTCAAAGATTTAGATATTGTATTTTGGGGACAAATGTTATGTAACCTGACATTCTGTATTTTTGAGAGTATGATATTGGAACCCTTAAAACACTTTTTTCTAGGACTTGTTGATAGAATTTGAAACAGTTAAAACACCAGTTGCCATGCAGGAGTATGAAAACAAACCTCTAATTGATCTTTTTAACACTCCTGAAATAACTAAAGCCCCTCCATTGAAACCTNTAAATTGATCTTTAAGCATTTTAATAGAAGTTTTTAAATTTATATCTGTTGGTCGTTGCAATAATAATTTTTCTTTAATCCCAATTTCTTTTTCCAAGTTTAGTCTATTCTGTATTTGGTTACGTTTATGTGCATTATTCATAGCAATTAAAATTCCCCTTAGATAGGCTTTTCCAGCATCCCAAACAATATTTATAGGGGTTCCTTTATTCAGGTTAAATTGAAAAAACTCTTCCATAGATTCCTTTAAAGCTTTAACTTTATCCTCAATCTGCTGTCTTCTTATTTCCTAGTCAAAACATGTGTTACAAAAGCTCCTGCAGACATCTCTAGGCGCTCTTCTGTAACAAGCAAGATTTCCATAGTTAAACCTATGAAAGGATTTTCAGTGAATGCTGCCCACTCTGATGCATCTGGAAAACAACTCACACCCAGATGTGCTAAAGGAAATCCTGTGAATATACCCAAGTATAAAGCTACCCTGACATCTGAAAGTGCAAGCAGTAATCTGCAGAAAGGTTCAGATTCTAATCTTCAGAAATTACTACCAAAAAACACATTAGGAAATGCAAGTACAAGTTCAAGTCTTAAACTAAACTCTAAACCAGCAGCTCCAAACTTAAAGCGAGGTAAGGAAATTGTTTTTAATGCATTAAATTATGCTAACTTCTGGAGAGTGTTGATTCTGTGCTCAACGTGCTGTTGTATATGCTGGCCAAAAGGGATTAAAGGGTTAAATTAAGCAGTTGAATACTTATGTGTCTAAGAAAATTAATATGCTTCAACTGTATTTTCTGCTTATATGTATTTTCAGAAAATGAAGCCACCAGAGTATTGCAATCAAACCCAGTATTATCTGGTAGCAATATTGAAAGGTATTTCTATATGATGATAGCTAATGATTTCCATTGCAATTGTTAATGTTCACTGAACTGTTCCGTAATATAGTTGATTAGAAACTGTGTTTTGGGTGTTGATAGAATCCAAATTGTTTCATTTCCTGTGAAAACTAACAAAGACCCTGTCAAACTATCCTGCGGTGTTGTAATATCCATATACTTAGGTAAGTTCTGTTCTTGCAATTTGCAGAGAACTACAAGCTTGTTAGAAACTTCAAATAATAAGAGGGCTAGGCAACTAGCAAGGCACAGTATAGCTTTAGGTTTGCCAGTTCAAATATTGCACTAAATAATTGTTAAGCTTAATTATCCATGGTTTGGGGGCAGTATCTGACTTGGAACCCTGTAAAATACAGGTAGTCCTTGCTGACCCGACCACTTGTGCAGCAACCATTCAAACTTACAATGATGTTGAACAAGAGGTACTTGGGGCAGTCCTCATAGTTGTGGCCATCACAGCCTCTCCATGATTGCGATTTGGATACTCAGCAAATGGCTCATGATGACAATGTCACAACGTCCCATGATTATGGGATCACTACTTGCGACTTTCCTGACAGTTTCTAACAAGCAAACAAGCCGGCAGGAGGTTGCAAATGGCAATCATGTGATCATGGGATACCATGACTGCATGGGATTTGCCCAACTGGAACTGCCAGAACTGCCGTCATAAGTTGGCAGGGTCCTTTGACATAATGCCTAATAACTGCATTGCTTATTGTTGTAATTCCTGGTCCCAATTACTGTTAATAAACAAGGACTATCTGTATGTCTTTTGGAACCACTGTGATATGTTACCCTCCTAATATTTAAAATATCTTGAACATAACACGAAACGGCTACTAAAATAAGGACTCTTTTAGTTGTGATTTTAGGTTTCTAAACTTCTCATGCTTTCTTAATCTTTGTAGCAATATTGCAGTTTCCACACCTGTCAAACAATTAGGAAGAACTGTATTAAAATCCTGTTCTGCTGTGAAGCCTTCTTTACGGACTCCAGATAGAAGGCATTCTACATTGCCCATGTCTGTTGGTCGATATACCTCAGGAATTCCAACACCGACTCCCAAAACAGTGCCCAGAAAAATGACATCTCCTAATAGTTTAGCTCTTCGTCACATCTCCAGTGTGTCTTCTAAAAAGACTATAGGAATGAGGTAAGTCTAGAAACAACCTCAACACTGTGGAGATTTCTGCCCTTTTTCTCCATTCCTGCAATTCCTGTTTATTAATATGCCCTTGGCTTATCACCGATTTCAGAAAATGCAAATTTTATTTATTATTTATTAATCAAATTTATACGCAGCCAGTTTGGTCTATTGATTAAGGCACCGGGCTAGAAAGTGGGAGATCATGAGTTCTAGTTCTGCCTTAGCTATAAAAGCCAATCTCTCTCTCAGCCCAGCTCACCTCACCTCACACAGGGTTGTTGTGGGGAAAATAGGACAAGAAAAATGTGTTGAGTATGTTTGTCATCTTGAGTTATTTATAAAAAATAAAGGCAGGAAATAAGTTATAAAGTTGGTTATCTACCCGCAAATGGGGATTATGGCTCGAATTTTGAATTGAATGTTGAGTGCAAGTTTAGCTATTCTTAGATAAGTTTAGCTATTCTTAGATAAAACTACAAGGTTTCTATATGGAATTCTCTGGCTCTGGAAAAGCATGAAATACACCCCAGAAAAGTGCAGGGTTTTCTATGACCCCATACTGGTATCCATCAGCTGAATGCATTGGAGTTATTCAGCTAATCAATCAATATACTGTGATTTATTACAATACAGACTTATGATTTACATATGATGTAACTATGTATTTGCCACAACAGTGTATTTCTGAGGGAAACTGTCAAGCTGTCTTTTTACTGTATTATTGTAATGGAAACCTGGATCCATGGGTTTTAAGGATTTCATCAAAGATACATTGCCTATTGAAACAAAAATCTTACAGTATCCTATTTATTTTAGTGTAAGTTTTAAAGACAGTCCATTTTTCGTGTAATTTTGTTTTCCTGCAGTATTGAGGTGAAGAAACAATTGCACGTACTGAGTAGAAATAAGTGAATTCTGCATAACAATGCTTTTTTTGCTGTTCCTGCCCAGTTCTAGGGGTTTGACTAAGAACAAGACATGGATGTCTTCAAGCCCATCTTCAACAGAAGGAGACTTATCTCCACCACAAGTTATACCTATTGCACTTGCGTTTTCACCAGATAAACCTTTTATCGAAATAGCAGAAGACATTACTAAAAAAGGGAAAACAACAGAAGTAATACTAGCTAAGAAGGTAGGTTGGGTTTTATCTGCCACGTCAAAATACAAACCATGTATTACAGTAAAAATTAGTGCTGCAACTGCTGCTTGTGTTCAAAAGAATTTGAAAGATACTATCACCTCATATTGCACCTGTTATAGTCATATTTTACACTAGGAAGGTTCTTATGGTATTTCCATAATGCAGGATTTTGTTGGCCTTGCTTTTAAATGTGCTGTGCAGAGAGATCCATATCTCTTAAAAAGATTTTAAATGCAATTATTCCAAATGTTGGTTATATTAATAGTCCATCGGTGCCTCCTTTCAATACTTTGACACAAATATTCTTGTTAAGAACCAGTTTTTAGGAAAGGTGGGTGGGAAACTTATTTACACTGATGACTCATTAAGGGGAAAATTTGAATTAGATCACGCAAGCACTGAAATTAAAGGTTGGAGCAGCAGAATGTCAAAGATTTAGATATTGTATTTTGGGAGGTGGGGACAAATGTTATGTAACCTGACATTCTGTATTTTTGAGAGTATGATATTGGAACCCTTAAAACACTTTTTTCTAGGACTTGTTGATAGAATTTGAAACAGTTAAAACACCAGTTGCCATGCAGGAGTATGAAAACAAACCTCTAATTGATCTTTTTAACACTCCTGAAATAACTAAAGCCCCTCCATTGAAACCTACAGGACAGGTAAGGTTATTTTTTATCTCATTGTTAATACTATTTGTATGTAAGTGTGGATTGATGATAAAAAGTTTAATTGCATATATTTTACATTTAGAGGCATTCAACTGTATCTTTGAAGCTTTGTGCAATAACTGATGTGATATATACTGCATGTAGTATTAGAAAATTTAACCTCAAAATTCTGCCAAAACTTGACATTCATAGGCTATTGCAAAATTAATATTTGAATTGGTTGTAATCAAAACTGCACTGTCAATGTAGATTTGCTAACAAATGAGGTTCTTTATATTTCCAAGAATGTAACAGTTGTGTTTAGTCAATGTTTTAATAATATATTTTTTACTTGTAGCTAATAGATCTGAACTCTCCTTTGATGAAACTAAGTCCGGAAGAAAATAAAGAAAATTCACCTCTTCTGAAATTCTGATTTTTATTTTTATTTTTAAACGGTTTTCAAACTGGAAAAAATTCTAGAGTTTAGCAACTAATGTTTCACTGGTCAGTAGTTTTAATACTGGAAAAAAGTTATGAAATTAAAATTGTGAACTTGAAATACTGATATATTGCTGCTAGGAAAAATAGAGAAGATATGGTTTTTCTATATTTTAAGCAATTTTGGTTGTAGCAAATATCTTTCCTGATAAAAATATTTGTTTTAAAATTGTGCAAAGTAAATTGTAGATGTCAAATACCGGTACTTGAAATAAAGTTAAGCATTTTAAATATTAATTACACTTTCTTAATTATTGCAAAATATTCAGTGTCTCTGAAGACAATCACAATTCAGTCTCTATAAGAATGGCAGATTTTTAAATGCAGAACTTCTATTTATGGTAAGAGAGAGTGTGTGTGTCTGACTTTTCCTTTATATTGAACAACCAAGTGTGCAAAAAAGAATGAGTTCTCCAAAATGTTATTAGCAGAGCTAATTTGAATAACTCAATAGAGAATTATATTCTGCCCCGAACTACCTTCCATATTTTTAAATCATATTCACCTTTCTGTCTCATTAAAAATTACAGTTAGTAGAACTAACTGTTGCTAATTGGATGTTGACACAAATCTTCCATTTCTAAGTGGCTTGTCAAGACAATTAGAAAAGTTATTTGTTATTTGTTAGAAAAGTTATTTGCCTCATGAATAATAAAAAAAGGTGCAAAAAAACAAAACCATTATCACATTATCTTATTGCAACAGCTCAGATGTAGGGGAAGTTTGTCCTCCAACATATAAAATAGAAATTGCATATTTTGTTTCATCAAAAAAAAAAAAAATTAGGTAGGCAATCTCTGCTTTGCTTGACCCATTTCTCTCTTCCTACCCTTCACAAGAGCAGAGAGATTGGACAAGAAGGAATTGCAAAACAACAAGCACACAATAGGAAATATACTGCTTGTTTGCCTAGTGTTACTTGTGGCTCTCAGCTCCAGAATCAGTGCATTCCTTTCAGTGTGTATTTTCAACTCACTCTCTTGTAATCCCTTCCTCTCCAAATTCTCGATTCTGCATGGTGGTGGTGGGGGGGACAGGGGAGGAACCACAGTTCAGATATAGGACATGTAGCTATTGTAATGGCAATTACATGATTGAGAGATACTGTAAAGATAGTAATGTGGGCATTGATCATGAAGTTTTTTCAGCATTGTGATACTTTTGGTCACTGAATTCTAGATTTTGCTATGGGTATTTATGAAATCATAATTAGCTACTGTAGTAAAATAAATTGTATTGATCAGTTGTAGAACTAAATGCTTGTCATTTCTGACAATTAAAAAGGTGTTATCTAAAACAGTTTTAGAAGCTTAATGCTTTCTCATCAGCATGTATGTTTGCCCTGTTACATGAATGAGCGGTTAGTGCTGAACTATTTATTTATTCAATTTATAGAAATTCGTCTCACATGCTTACTATGGACACAGTTAAAAGGAGTTACCGGTAAACAACTAAAATAAAAACTAAAGGTAACCCTTGCTTATTCATTCAGTGACCGTTTGAAGTTACAGTGGTGCTTGTCCAGTCATGTGATCAATTTGATCATTTGGTGCATTTTGACAGTTGCAGCATCATGTGATCACATGATCACCATTTGTGATCTTCGCAGCTGGTTTCTTACAAGCAAATCAAATGGGAAGCTCGCAGATCACAAGTTGCAGTTATATGATAACTTCATGGCCACAAGTGATTTGTTTGAAGATCTGCCATTTTAAGTTGGGTATGGTTGCATGGTTTTCTTCACATTATGACTACATTAGGGGTGTCAAACTGCCAACCCGCGGGCCGGTTGCATCATATGGAGGCCGCACCCACCCCCAGCTCTGGCAATGCAAAAAGTCACGATATGTCACAACATGTCACATGATGCGGCGAGTTTGACACCCGTGGACTACATTGTTAGAAGTTTAGGAGATGACAATCCCAATTCTGATCAGTAAGTCAAGACTACCTAATTAGAAAAAAAAATTGAAACTGTTTAATAATTTAATTTGCAAGACAGTACATTCCATACAATTGTTAACAAAATAACCAACTGACAGGTTGCATACCACCACTTGATCCCCAGGCCTGATGAAAAAAAAACGTCCTTAAAGCCTCCAAAAGTTCAAGACTCACTAGCCTAATCTCACAGAGAATTATGTACCAAAGGGCAAATGCTACAGCAAGAGGCTCTCCTAAGTGCTACCAGATGACATATCATAATTATAATCCGAAACTAGCAGCACGATTAAAATAAAGAAAAATGAACAGGGGCTATAAAACAGCATTTCTTTGTCCTGCATAATGGAAGAAACTGGAATACCCTCTGGAAAGTAGAAAAGCAATTTTGTCTCCACACCACTCGCTTGAAAACTGCCAGTATGCAATCCACCCGGAGTCACAGAGATGGTTGGCATAAAAATTTAATAAATAAAAATGTATTGCTCCTACTTTCAATTGTTACCTTGCTATAGGAAAGCCGCTGCCAAATGGGCACGTTCTTGTTTACACAGTAGAGGACAAGTTTAAAATAGGGACTCCTTCAGTTTTGCTTCTTTTCCTTCCTACCAAACATTCACTGTTTTCCTTAACTAGGCTGAAAGAGAAAAGTAGCTATCCAAGAAGATTGCAGAAGCTGCTCTGTTTAACCAGGTATTGAGTCCCATGGATCATCTGTGATCTTTACCCTGGCAGCTAAAAAGCCTATTCTCTCTTCCTTTATCAGCTGAATCTCTGAGCCAGAGGACTGTTATGCTGCTCTCCCACACCTGTCAGTGTTATCAGGGTAGCTGGCCCAGCAAAATAAGATTTCTCATTTCACTGCATGGCCTCCCAACACTCATTCATAGGAATATGTTAAAACATGTTGAGCCAGGAACTGACCTAGAAATGTGTTGGGCACAGTGGAAAAGACTAACAAGAAAGATGGGGACTCTTGATGCCCAGGTGAGAGTGTCTGTAGAGAACAGGAACCCTAGGTTACACCTGCACCAACTTCAAGTATGTTATAAAGCACCAGGCTAAACCCACTTCTGATGAAAGTAATGAAAATTAGGTAACAGACAAAAGGATACACAGTATGTTCACATTAAGGCTAATTGCAAGTGGGGAAAGGTCTTAATTCTTATCTATCGTTTAACACTTATTTTAAGAAAGGCCAGGTGACCTGTCTTTACATAAGTTCCTTAAGATGGTTATCTAAGAAAAATATGGGAATCAACTAACAAGATAGCATGGTCTTAAGAACAACAAAAAAAAACACCTTTGTTTAAGGTAGTTTTTTTACAAATTCAGCAACTTGAAAATGTGTGGATTTCAATTCCTAGAATACTCCAGCCAACATGCTGACTAGGAAATTTTGGGAGTTGAAGTCCACGCATCTTCAAGTTGCCAGGTATGAAAAACAATGGTTTAAAGAATGGTTCATAAAAGTCTGGAACTTGCCTTGGTGTAAAATAGAATGGAAATAGGAATAATGGGAATAGGAATAGGAAAGGGAAAGAATAGAAATAGGAATAGAATAGAATAGAATAGAATAGGAGGCTGGAAGGGATCTGGGAGGTCTTCTAGTCCAACCCCAACTCAAGCAGGAGATCCTATACCAGAGGGGTCTTCAAACTTGGCCCTTTTATGACTTGTAGACTTCAACTCCCAGAATTCCTCAGCCAGCGTGCCTGGCTGAGGAATTCTGGGAGTTGAAGTCCACAAGTCATAAAAGGGCCAGGTTCAAAGACCCCTGCTATACCATTTCAGACAAGTGGCTTGTCCAGTCTTTTCTTAAAAATCTCCAGTGATGAGGCACCCACCATTTCTGAAGTCGTTAAGCTTCATATTTGCAAAACAGCAGCAACCTATTCAAAACGAGTAATCCCAAAACAGGTTCAGTGAATCTGCACTGGCCCAGTCTGGTACGGGGTGTGTGTGTGTGTGGGGGGGGGGGGGTTAAGGCTTCTGGTTAAAAAACCAGGAGACCATGAAAGCCGGTCCCTTTCTCGCAGACCCAGATGGCAAAAACAGTTCCCAAATCTTCCTCAGAAAACTGCAGGGGCTTGTTCAGAGCAGTCCGCCAGGAACCAACACTGCCTCGCAGGTGCGGACGCCCCCCTCAACACACACACACGTGTGTCCTTCAGCGGTTGCTCCCATTCGAAAAAGCTTCTTCCACCTGGGGTGAATCGAAAAGGCAAGGACTTCAGCTTCCACCCCCCTCAGCCTATACTAGGGGTCTGCAACCTTGACAACTTTAAGACTTGCGGACTTCAACTCCCAGAATTCCTCAGCCAGCACAGCTGGCTGAGGAATTCTGGGAGCTGAAGTCCGCATGTCTTAAAGTTGTCAAGGTTGCAGACCCCTGGCCTATAGGACCAAAATATGAAAGGGCCGGCAAGCTCCTCCCACTCGCGGGGTTCTCTCCTTCTGAGGGAGAGCCGAGGAGAAACCCGGTTTCCCGGCCTTTTGTGAGATCAGCTCCGCCCACAGGCGGCCCTGTCCCGCCTCTGCTCTTCAGGTCACGGTGGGCCGCGGTCGGGGAAGGCAGCGCGGCCGGCCCTGAGGCAGCGAAGCGAGACCATGATGGCGGCCGCTCGTCGGCACGTGGTGTGCGCCATGTCGGGCGGGGTGGACAGCGCCGTGGCGGCGCTGCTGCTGCGGCGACGAGGTGAGCGGAGAACTGGGGCGACAGCAAAAGGCCCCTTTACTACTAAACCCCCCCCCCTCCAATCCACCTGAGCGTTCTTTCCGTCAGCAGAACTTCCGTTCCGGTGTGTGGAGACTACAACTCCCGGCATTCCCTTGCGAAGGGTTTTCAGAGGTGTACAGTAGTAGTACACATCTGGTGGGCGAAGTCTGACGGAAGGGGTTGCCCTGCGCGGATAAAACGCTCCTTCTGGTTGGATTCCTGGGGACTGTAAGGAAAGATTGATAGAGTATAGGTCAGGGGTCTTCAAACTTGGCAACTTTAAGGCTTGTGGACTTCAAGGCCCAGCTGGCTGAGGAATTCTGGGAGTTGAAGTCCACAAGCCTTAAAGTTGCCAAGTTTGAAGACCCCTGGTATAGGTAGTCCTCGACTTAACGACCACACTTGAGCCCCAAATTTAGCTGAAGTCCGCATGTCTTAAAGTTGTCAAGGTTGCAGACCCCTGGCCCCTGGCCCTTTCACATTTTGGTCCTATAGGCCAGGGGTCTGCAACCTTGACAACTTTAAGACATGCGGACTTCAGCTCCCAGAATTCCTCAGCCAGCTGTGCTGGCTGAGGAATTCTGGGAGTTGAAGTCCGCAAGTCTTAAAGTTGTCAAGGTTGCAGACCCCTAGTATAGGCTGAGGGGGATGGAAGCTGAAGTCCTTGCCTTTTCGATTCACCCCAGGCGGAGGAAGCTTTTTCGAATGGGAGACCAGCTAAGTGAGTTTTGCCCCCTTTTACGACCTTCTTGCCACAGTTGTTAAGTGAATCACTGCAGTTAACTTAGCAACATGGTTGTTAAGTGAATTTGGCTTCCCCATTGACTTTGCTTGTCAGAAGGTCACAAAAGGTGACCACATGACCCCAGGACACTGCAGCCGTCATAAATATGAGTCAGTTGCCAAGCATCTGAATTTTGATCATGGGTATGCTGCAACGGTCATAAGTGTGAAACACAGCTATAAGTCACTGTTTTCATTGCTGTTGTAACTTTGAACTGTTGTAAGTCAAGGACTAGCTGTATTCGAAACAGCAGAATACAGTTCTTTGCCCTGGCCTTCTTTCGAAGCACATTTTTTAAGCTTCTCGGTCCTTCCTGAAACTCTTGACTCTTATAGTGGTATTCCATCCAAACATTTAGTCTGTCTGAGCCTGCTTAGCTTTTGCAGATCAACCAAGGTCATCTAGGACTTTCATATACAATAATGGCCAAAATTGTGGAAACCTTTTGGGAAAAGTGTACAGTAGAAATGCCACCTTTGGTTTGATTTTTGATTTTTGATTTTATTAAATTTATACCCCGCCCTTCTTTTTTCTTCTAATTTCTTTATAACTGTAGCCTTGTTCACTTAATAATACTATTTTACATCGCTTTCTGGGCAACTAGTCAACTCATTGCACCATTACTTTAATTTTATTACGTTTTACAAGCTCACTAAATGAAAGAACACAAAAAAAACCAACCGACTTGATAGCGATCACATAACACACTGACAAATGTCCTCCTCTCAAGTTCAATACATGACATCATTAACTGAATCCTACTGTGATCTGATTGGCTCACTGGCTACAATCAGATGAAGGAAAGCTACCTGATATCAACCTAAGCAAGCTGTGCTTCCTTTTTCTGGTTATTTGGCTATAACTTTTCATAGAATACAGTACAGATAATTGAACAAACTTTGTTGCATTACATTCTTGATTAAATTATCTTTCCATTGATATATAATTTTATGGTACTACTCCCAAAAAAAAGTGGTGTTATTAGCCATCAAACCTCAAAAATACACTTTTCCCCAAAGGTTTCCACAATTGTGGCCACTACTGTAGCTTGTCATCCGTTAAATTATGCCAAATTCTTATGGATTTACTAGCTCCCTGGGCATTCAGTAGTACTGTTAAGGACTACTTATTGAGTATGGTTTGTCATCCATCCATCTGGTAGTGATGCTGTCTATCCCACATTTTTCTAACTTACCAAGAAATAGGTTGTGGCCTACTTTGTCAAATGCTTTGCTAAAGTCTAAATATTACTATGTCCTCAGCATTTCGCTGGTCTACTAATTTAATCTCTTTGTTAAAGAATGAAATAAGATTGGTTTGGCATGATCTGTTTTTAAAAAAACCCGTTCTGGCTACTAGTTATAATTTTGTTTCTAGAGGTCAGCTATACTATGTATCATACTCCTGGGAAAAGATGCATTTGGTTTAAAGAGTTGCAAACAGATACTGAGACCCACATACAGACTTTGAAGGATTTTTTTGCTAAAATATTTAATTATTTTATATTTTAATGATGAACCTAACATGAGCTAATTCAGTGCTTTCATGGGGAGTCTATGACCAGAGATGAATATTCAGTCCATTAGTGCCTACATGTTTGGACACATCTAGCTAGAATGAAGTTTTACTATTCTGGGAATAGTATATTTTGTATTAACGCAGTAAGAGTTATCTAAAACTGAAAAAAGTGTCGGAGATATGAGGGTTTTTTGCCATAGATGATTCAACAATTTTTAAAAGTGAAAGATTGAACATTGTTATGAGTATATCCACCGTATGTTTATTTTTCATGCACAGTATTGCCATTTATACTTTCTCATTTCTTGCTTTCCCCATCTGATCAGGATATGAAGTGACTGGGGTGTTCATGAACAACTGGGACGTGGTGGATGAAAAGGGAATTTGTCAAGGCAATCAAGATTGTGAAGATGCTTATAAAGTGTGTCAGATACTCAATATTCCATTTCGCCAAGTTTCCTATGTTAAAGAATATTGGAATGAAGTGTTTAGGTAAGAGAATTTTCATAAATCATTTGATGAAAGAAAACCGTGTGACTGGGAAAATTAATAAGAGGATGGAGCTTCCTTAACTAGTTCTTCTCTCCTCTGCTGAACTTGATAAATCTAGCAATGCATCACTGCTCTACGCTTTAGTTATGAAAATGCATATGAAAAACGGCCCAATTTTAGAACATCCTGAATTCTAATAAAACTCCTTTGCCTCTGTAAGCAAAAACAATTCGCCACAGACCTGACGGAAGCTTATTTGAATAGCTGCGAATGATAAACTAAAGATGCAGACTTCCTTGAGTTGAATTTAACTTCTGATGACTATAATACAGCCAACATGGTTTTCTTGGGAAAATATGGAAGTAATTCACCATTTCCTATTTGATATACGGGCGCCTCTGCCTCCACCTGCTACTTGGAGGGTCCAAAATGGTATAGGGTTTCTTGCCTGAGCAGGGGGTTGGTCTAGATGACCTCCAAGGTCCCTTCCAACTTTTTTTTATTATTATTATTATTATTATTATTATTATTATTATTATTATTATTATTACTATTATTATTATTATTATTATTATTATTATTATTATAATATACATGTTGTACTTTGATAATAAAGATCCATTCATTCATTTCTTATGTTCATCAAGGACTAATGAGGAGGTGTACTTAGGGTCACCACTGATCCCCACCCAGCTGCAGCCTGAGTCAGTCCATTGCTTCATTGTCAGCCTTGCAAGGTTGTCTAAACAAGAAGCATGGCCAGATGAACTAATTCAACTTTATTATGAGATTACCTTAACAAAATCTTGCAGGTCTGAAACTATATCTCTCCCCCCCAACCTTTACCGTCCAAGAAATTAGGGGGGATCCCTTCTGAGATGCTTGCCACGCCACCCTTCTTTCTGAGGGCTTAGCTGCCTCTTATCTGCCTAATCTGCAGCTCTTCCTCCTGTCTCCCAAAGTCATTCCCACATACCATCACATTCATGTTTTTTTTAGTGGAATGAAAGGACAATGGATACTATCAGTCAAAGTATCTACAGCAAACCCAGTCATTTAAGTGCTAAACATCAGAAGCACCGACATGCCATATATTTTTTTTGATAAACTTTATTGGTTTTTAAAACATAAATCACATAATAGTTAACAGTGTGTTTGCTTGGTTTACATTTATACAGGAAAATCGTCAACAGTTAATATCTATAATCCATAATCCATGTATTCACACAAATATTTCTTTCTTTTTTTCTTTTTTCCCATAGATATTCTCTCTGATAGTTCCCGTCATCAATATTCTTAATTTTCACTTTAATATTTAAATATTTTCCCTTTAATCAGTATCATGCTTGATCAATGTGTTTCGCTGAATCGGAGCGTTTTTCCCTCTATTTTTCCCCAACCAATCATACAATTTGTTCCAGATTTCATAGTAATCTGTTTCACTCTTATCCTTAAGTTCTAACGTCAACCTATCCATTTCAGCACAAGATAAAATATCTTATTTATCACCTCTTCTTCTGAGGGTGTCTCACTGTCTTTCCATCTCTGTGCAAAGACTAATCTTGCAGCTGTTAGCATGTGTAATAATAGGTATAGGAATCCTTTATTGTATCTATCTTTAGTGATACCCAGCAAAAAGAGTTCTGGTTTTAGCTCAGTGTTCTGCATTAGTATGTCTTCTAACCACTGTTTTATTAAATTCCAAATTTTTTGTGCATCAGAAGCACCGCCATGCCATTTTTAAGTGATTAAAATAAGTAGCTTAAGTATAAACTGAAACAACTTCAGTAAAATCTGGTTATATAAAGTAACTGAGATTTTTGAAGGGGCGGTGAACATGTCTCTGCATTTCCAAAAACTCATCATCATTTTAATGTTTTTTTTAACCTACAGCTACCTTTTAAATGAATACGAAGTTGGACGGACACCTAACCCTGATATTATATGTAATAAATACATAAAATTCAATTATTTCCTACACTATGCAATGGATAACATTGGTAAGTTCTATTTTCAGTGGTGTTTTCCTTTCTGAAAAATGAAGAGCTGGAATATTTTGCATACAGTCTTCTAACAGCCTATGAAGATCTGGCTTTGCAGATCAATCTGTGTCTTTCAGAAATTACACTTTTGTATTCAGAGGTATTATTTAATTCAGTGAAGATTCCTACTGACCAAAGTAGGATGAGAAATATCATAAAAACAAAAGTTGTAAAATATGTTAAAAGTCTTATTAAAATAAAAGCGTCTAATTTGCCTTTTATTTTTTTCAAAACTATACCAGGAGCTGATGCAATAGGAACTGGACACTATGCAAGGACTTCCCTGGAAGACCATGAAGTTTTTCAGCAAAAATACAAGCAAAGACCACCAGGACTTTTCAGAAATAGATTTGAAATAAGAAACAGTAAGCGCTCCACGGTTTAAATCGAGATTAGATGTGTAGCATCAATTAATATAATGAAATGGATGGTTAGTAGTAGGCACCTTGTGTGCAAAAGTCTTAGAATACAAATTAAAATTGGAAAACCAGATGAAGAATAGCTAATTGATCTTACATTTTTGCAGAAAGAAAATATCCTATCCCATTATATATAATATCATATCAAAGAAACCATAACATATCTTCATCAAGAGCCTTTTTTTTTTTTACTGAATGTTACTTGAAACAAAACATTTTTTATTCCTTACTTTGGCTTTCTTGGCATATAGTATTAGTTGCATAATATGTTGGGTTGTTTTATTGTTTTCTGCCATGTTACCATTTTCTGTGATTTAAAGAATTCAACCAAATTTGACATGGATGCATAGTCACTACACACACAGAGAGAGACACACAGATCAATTCATTTGCTTTCTTCCCCCCCATTTTTTGTTATCTACAGCTCAGTCTTTTCTCATTCTTTGCAGTAATAAGGCTTTGAACCTCCCTTTCCTTGATGTCAGTGGCATCTCATTCCCCCACCTCATTTTGCAGATACATTTTTTCTCTTCCTGCTACATAGTGTCCCCTGAAGCATAGTCCATATGTGGAAGAGCCCATCCTTCCATCAGGATGAGCAACAGGACATTATAACTGATAGAACTCCGTGTGGCCCTCAGTCTTTTCTAGACACTAAATAGTGGGGCTGAAGGAAAAATAGTTTATTAGACAGACTCAGTTACAGTGGCAGTGAGTACACCATTGGAAGACCAGGTTAGGAACAGATAATTATGGGGAAATTTTTTTCCATGTGGCTGTTAAGATTGACACCTACTTGATAGCCCTTAAGTCCATTTTTAAATGAGGAAATAGCTTTTCCTTGATTCCTCATCTTTCTCATTTTCACTGAAGGCCTAATTTTTAGACTATAATGCAATAAACAAAGTATGTGAAAGAGATAGGAATATAGCCGTTCAACTTCCTTCCTATCTTCCTTCCTATCTTCCTTCCTTCCTTCCTTCCTTCCTTCCTTCCTTCCTTCCTTCCTTCCTTCTTTCCTTCTTTCTTTCTTTCTTTCTTTCTTTCTTTCTTTCTTTCTTTCTTTCTTTCTTTCTTTCTTTCTTTCTTTCTTTCTTCCTTTTTATTTTTGTCTTTTCTCTGTTCCTCTTGCAGCTGTCAAACTGCTTCAGGGAGCTGATCACAATAAAGACCAGACCTTCTTTCTCAGCCAGATTTCTCAAGAAGCTTTGGAGAAAACCATTTTCCCCCTCGGAGACTTAACAAAAGACTTTGTGAAGAAGATAGCTGCAGAACATCAGCTTTACCATGTGTTGAAAAAAAAAGAGGCATGGTAACCTTTCCTACTCAAAGGACTCAATCGTTATAAGAAAAAAAAATCATTATAACTTAGAGCAGTGGTGGCGAACCTATGGCACGGGTGCCAGAGGTGGCACTTGGAGCCCTCTCTGTGGGCACATGTGCCGTTGCCCCAGCCTCGCCTCCCCCCATGACCCCCTCCTCACCAGCCGCCGCCCTGGAGGAGAATCGCCCCTGAGCATGGCCCACACGGAGCAGTGCAGCCAAGGACATGGCAGCCAGGCAGCGTAGACAAGACTCTGCCCTCACGCCCCATCCCGCACAGTTGATGCTGCGGGGCGCGGGCAGAGGGCGTGGCCACTATGGCGCTGCTGGGCTGCCTGGGTGATCTGTGGCGGGCCCTGGAGGCAGTGAGTGGCCCTGCGGGCAGGCGGGGTGGGGGACCAGGTTGGGGCGGGGCAGGGGCAGGAGGTGGAGCAGGGGTGGGACCAGTTTTGGGGCACTCGGTCTCTAAAAGGTTCACCATCACTGACTTAGAGCAACATTTCTCAATGTTGCACATACATTTCTCTCTTCATGCTTCATAGTGTCCCCCTAAAGCATGGCCCATATGTGGAAGGTCTACAACAAAAATTCCCCAGCCAACAATTGCCAAGTTTGAAAAATATTAGTTTAGATGCCTTTGCAATCTGGAAATGACCAAAACCTGTTTTTTTTTATTGATCGTGTTTCTGGATAGAATTACCAATTGTGCCATTGTAGTGTTCTAATAGTTTCTTAGTCAGGAATTAGTTCTCTTATCTGTCATTGCAGCCAAGTAGGATAGTCTTCTGCTGAACACATATTTTTTGTATGAGTTGTCAACATATTTCATATTGTTTATTTTTCCTCTAAAGTTCACTATATTTTTCTACGAGATTTTTCGTGCTTGTTTCTAGATAGGTGGATTTGTAGGTGGGAATAGATAGATATAAAGTGCTGTTATTTGAACTTTCAAAATTCCTAAAGGATGACCATTAATTGTGTTTTATTTTAGAGCATGGGCCTCTGTTTTGTTGGTAAAAGAGATTTTTCAGAGTTTCTTCTTGAGGTGAGAGATTACTGATTCATATTTTTTATGAACACGTATACATTTTATTATTACTTTCATTGTGTATGACTTTTAAATGGGATTTAAATGGAGACGATGTTTCTTTTCCCCTCGTAGTATCTGCAACCACGTCCAGGAAATTTTGTCTCCATTGAAGATGGCAAAGTTATTGGAACACACCAAGGTGAGCAGGTGTTTTTTCATTCAGGTCCTGTTAAATGTTGTGAAATATAAAGTTCTCTATAGTCACCCCCTCCCTCTTCCCCCCCCAAATATGGCAACATAAAACTCAGTAAATCTTTAGTTTCCTCCAAACTGTCTCATCTGGCAATGGATTCGAATGAACCTGGGGCCCCAACCCGTATAATCTCCTCTTGTTAAAAACTTCTGGCCCCAAAAGCTTCAAATTAGGTGGCGAGTTATTAAACAGCTGCACTTGGTTATTGTTTTTATGAGGTGATACAGTGTAAGGAAGTGGGGTTTTATAAAGTGAACAAAATGTGGATCCTTTAATCTCCTTAAAAATAAATGGTAAAGCAGGCTAAACATAAACATACTTAAGAAAGGAATCTATTAACGCTGGGAATTAGACCAGACTTGTAAGGAGAGAATAATGTTTTTCAGGGAGAGAGGAGATATAATAATTACTGGGCTTGGGCTGTGGTTGGAAGGGGGGCTTGCATATGGAAGGGGATTTCATGGGATGACATTGCCAGGAATTTTGACCAGTCCAGGTGGGAGAGGAGATGGCTTAAAGCCTTGGCATTGGAGAGAAGATGTTGTGTGGTTCCTTTGACCTCTGGCATCTTATTTGACTGCAGATCTTTTTCTCCCAGAAGAAAGAGATAGAGAAAGAGAAAGAGAAAGGGAGAGGTGGTCCCACTGCTTCAATCTCTTTCTGTTCTGGATGGAAAGGGTGGTTGAGCATACAGAGTCAAGTTTGGAAAGAAATAAAAAGCGATCGGTTTCAGAGGCAATGCATTTCAATGGAGCTTTCCAGGCTCCTTTTCATAGACAAACTTTGCAGAACAGTTGTTTTAGCTATTCAGTTCTATTATTTGCATTACTATTGTTATGATCGCCATTGTTATCGATGGTTATTAAGTTGCGGTTGAAAAAAAAATTGAATGGCCGTGACTGCTGTCTAGGAGCATTTTGGAAAACCTGCCAGAGACGTATTGCTGCCAATTGTATTACAAACGGAGCAGCCTATAAATCCAATCAATCAGTATTCATATTCTTGTGCTGGTAATTACCAAAGTGCTGGTAATTACCGAAAGATCTCCTGTATGGAGAACTAGTGCAGGGAAAGCGCCCCTATGCTGATCCTGAGTTAAAACGCCTTATAAATCAGATCAGATAGATAAACTCAGTAGAAATGATTTCATAACAAAAACATATTTAATCAGAAAGATTACTTGCATCATGACGGTTGCCTCTGATAATACATCTCTGTCCATTCCTATAGGTGAAAAGAATGATGCTCTCTCCATACCATCTTTATAGCGGAACAGGGTCATCGGGTGACATCTAATGGCCCACGCTTCTCTTTAGACAAAGTCGCAGGAACTAACTTGTAATTGATCTTATTCAGCCTGTTGCCCCATGCATGTTCAAGATACAAATCTTATTCCTAGCTAGCTTATATGATAGGATTTAGAATCATAGAGTTTGAAGGACCAGCTAGGTTAGTGGTCTCCCCAGAGGGAAGAGGGTAAAAATGGACTATATGTTGGTAGCAACAGAGCAATCAAAGCCCTGCCCCTTTGTTGGGATATTGGTTAGGATGAGACTGTTAAGCTGATTCTTAAGCATAATGAGTTTAAGTGTCAACCATACATTCAGTAGATATGTGTTTTCTTTCTGCATTTTGCCTCTATACTGAACAGCTAGTATACTTAGTCTTTCCTTTCCCTTTTGTTTTCAACATATCTGTGGGTTATATTTTAAAATATGTGTTTTGCTTTTCTTAGGTTGCTTCTTATATACGTTTGGCCAGAAAGCTAAGCTAAAGAACGGCAGTAATGCATGGTTTGTCGTAGATAAAAATATAGCCTCTGGGGAAGTTTTTGTGGTAAGTTTGCTTGCATTTGTACCGTTTGTGATTGCTGCCTAAAAGAATGTGGTTATTACTGGCCCAAGATTCTTGGCTTTTGCACACAAAAGAAAAACCAAAGCTGTTAAGTAAACCGTTGTCAACAAGCTTTATTACATCCTGTTCAAACTAGCTTTTGATCAACAGAAAATTGAAAAGGATGTTGGCACACAGTATGCAATAAATGGCAAGCAATGAAAGAAATGATCAGACCATTGAGCTTCACCTTGGAACAAGCGTGCCTTCGTCTTAAGTGTTTTATTCCGTCTTTAGGTCAAACCATCATCCTGATGCTCTATTGGTAGTGATAGCCACTGTCGCAGGTTGGAAGGGATGACTTGTATAGCACATCCTTACAGTCACAGGTCACACAGTGTGACATCAGCACTGGGAGGGGCTGAGCAAGCAGCAGCACCTTGATGGACATGCTGAAACAGTCCACTCGTTGCCTTTTACATCAATATTTCTCTATTTCCATGGATAGTGTATGGATACACAAGTAGTCCTTATGTACAACTGCAATCATGTATTGACTTTGCAACTACACCAGTGATGAAACAGTAACTTTATGTCCAATTCTTGCATTTATGAGGATTGTAAGGCAAAGAAGAATTGAAGTGAGATCATAACCATAGTTGTGTAGCAGTTACTAACTGCTTTGCTTAACAATGGAGTTGCCATTATTGAGGTCGCTAAATGAGGACTACCTATACTTGATATGCTCCTTTAAGCCTGGATAAAATCCCTAAATTTATAAGGGAAGCAGTGGCTCCACTCTTGTAGCAGTGTTTTTGTTCATTCCTGGTCCTTTAAAATATGACTTTTTGGAGATATAATGCTCCATCAAGATTAATATCTACCTACGCAAAAGCATCATTTCTCATTCATATTATCTCTGTAGCTTTAGCTATGTATAGGCTAATTATGGTCAAAACAAACCATGGTTAAGTTTTAGGACCAACACTTCCCTGCTTTTTGCAGGAAACAAAACATTTCATAACAATTATATAGTGCAATGTTTCATGATCTTGGCAACTTTAAGATGTTTGGACTTCAATTCCCAGAATTGTGCGAGTTGAATCCGTACATCATGAAGTTGCTAAGATTGAGGAACAACTGATATAATTTAACAGTATAAGCCTGTTGCTTTTAATAAATTAATGTATGACCCATGAGGGGTCAGCACCCTGGGGTCTGTGGTCCTTTGTAGCTATTGGAGACCCCTATGATCACATCACCAGCAGCCAACAACACGGCTATTGAAAATTAGCAGACTATTTCCCTCATTTTGGAAGAGGGAGCCCATAAGGTCTAATATGAAAGGCTTCAGATAACTTTAAGATAGTTCAAATAAAGACAGAAAAATATATAAGGGAAAAAATAGAAATCCTAGCCAGCTGATTCTATATGGTATATAGCAGTGGTGGCGAAACTATGGCATGTGTGCCAGAGGCGGCACTCAGAGCCCTCTCTGTTGGCATGCGCGCCACCGCCGCCAGCAGCAGGTCCATCAGGCCACCACTGCCACCCGGAGCAGGAGCCCCGCCCAGCACAAAGGAGACGAAGCGGCTGACTAGCAAGCTTGAGTAGAGGTTGTAGAGCAGAGGTCACCAACAATTGTCTATTATGGACTGGAAGAAAAGGGATGGGGAAGCATTTTACATGTGTGCATGTGCTCATGGGGCCGTGAGCATGCACGCGCTGCAAATGGGGCAGAGCTAGTGCCTGCGTGATACTCACTAGCCCTGCCCCATTTTTGCATGGTGCAGCACCTTGTATCTGCACCCCGTGGCGCGGTGGTGGCCATTTTCGCACCTTGCAGCACGGTGGCCCATTTTTGCACCCCCGGTTTTTGCATGCCAGAGGCGGCACTCAGAGGCACCTCCCTGCCCCCCCCAAGGGTACCACAATGCTGATGCGGCCCTGGCACTTTGTGATAAATAAGTGGGTTTTGGGTTGCGGTTTGGGCACTCGATCTCTAAAAGGTTTGCCATCACTGGTATATAGCCTATATGTACTGTAGGTCAAGTTTAGCATTGCCTTTTGGAAAATGTTAAATAATATTGAATTTGCCCACCCCCCAGTGTTCCATCAAACTTGCCTGTGATATTTTTTTATGGTCTCCGCTTTATAAAACAAATAAAACGAAGATTCTTCCCAGATGGTTGAAAAGGAATGCAATAAAGATTGCCTTAATCATCACTCTGATAGAAAGCGGACCCAATGATTTGAGTGTTTAACCCCCACGCAAAGCATTTTGCCTTCCAATTTAATTTTGACATTTTTTTTCTTTTACTTGTTGCTAATTTTATCTACATTGTGCTGAGATGCTGAGTTGTAAATTAAAATTTTTGTGTCCTTCTGAAGGCGCCCGGCAGGGATCACCCTGCGCTCTACAGGGATCTTTTACGGACAAGCAGAGTGCACTGGATCGCTGAGGATCCACCTGCAGAACTCATTCACAACAAAATGATGGAGTGTAATTTCCGCTTCGTACACTTGATGGCGCTAGGTGACTAGTCTTTGTTAACTGGCGGCACAAAGGGTACACATAGGCCATTTATAGAAGGAAATATTTATAGAATATTTGTTATTTATCTTTATGGAAGGAAACATATTATTTGTTCAGATTACAAATAGCATCGGATATTGATGACAACGCAGATTTTGAGGTTTTAATTTCTGATTTTAATTGGGTTCGTAAAGGATATTTTTAAAAATCGAATTCTTTATTTTTTGGGGGTGATTTGATCGTTTAATTGTGTGAGCCTGCCAAAGTCACATAGATGGGCAATCAAATCAAATCCATAAAGGTCAATCACTTAATAGTTGTTTTTTTTATTTGTAGTACCTTGTACGTTAACCCTAAATCAAGATGGATCAGTGTGGTTGACTCTCGCTAAGCCAATCAGGGATCTTACAGCAGGGCAGGTATGTGTTGAGCCTTCTTCTCTGTGATTATCTTACATTTACTAATCATTCCAGGACATATTTCCCAGTAAATACGCTCAGTTGCACTTTTGAACAGATAGATTGAATAGCAAAGTATGGAGCAGATTTTATTCACGCACTGCATAACTGGACAAAAGAAGCAGTTTGTTCATACATATTATTGGTTGATTTATTAAACTATTACATATAAGTGAGTCGAAAATCTCATCTGGAATCTTGGTTCCATACATTGCTATTAACAGCTGAATGTTTTAACATGATCCAACATGGCCGGCGTGATTCATAATAATTTTCCCTTGGGTTTTGTTTGATTCTCAGCACTGAGGGGAAGGTTTTATAAACATCTGTATTGTGTTTGTCTGCTAACAATGGTAATAATGGGGAATTAAGCAATATTTGAAGCCCTGTAGTTATTTACTTGCAAGGAAGCCTAATTTACTCTCCAAGAAAAATATTTGCTAATAATATTGAATGAAATGTAATAGAGAACATTCTTACATGCAGAAGATATCAGATATGATGTGGGGATCTCAGCAAAGGTGGGGGGGGGGGACACAAGCCTGCTCTGTCCACATTTATCCTAGATAAGATAGTCCACTTTTTTCCTGATTAAGATGGTTCAGTAGTCTAATGTTCAGTTAGAACTGTTTCTCAGTCTCAACTATTTTAAAATAGGTGGACTTCAATTCTCAAAATTCCCCAATCAGCTGAAGCTGGCTAGAGAATTCTGGGACTTAAAGTCCACCCATCTTCTCAGGTTGCTGAGATTGAAAAACACAGAGAAAGCTATTTGAGAATTTTGGGGGGAAAAGGAACATCCTTACTTGGTTAAATACAGTGAAACTCCACTCTTTCTCTGCCCTTTGTTGCCTTCTCACCACAGTTAACACAGCAAAAATAGCAACTGCAATGGAAGGAGGAGAATGACAGCTTTCATAATTAACAAAAAAAAATGTTTCGAGGGCTTGTTCAGTTGCGGGTTTTATCAAGTCCTGTCGTGCAAGTTGATGTTGTAGAATAGATTCTGTAAATAACCAAGAGTCTGTGAAAAAGAGAAGGATGTAAGAGCTCTACCCAGCTTGTCAAAAAATTCTCAGCATTAAGAAGTATCTGAATCACGATTGCTTAAAACAGAAATTTCAAATGGTGCATATTTTTAACAAAGGAAATAAAGCAGCTGGAAAAAGGGAGACTCCACTGAATTCCTTAATTCAGCACATTCATTCTAAGATGTGTGAATGTAATCAGTTGTGTTATATTACTAGATTATTATAGTTTAACTCAATATTTCAGACTTCTTTGGGAAGCTCTCTTTACCATATGAGCTGACCGAATGCAAGAATTATCTATGATGATTTACTTAGATCAGCGGTTCTCAACCTATGGGTCGTGACCCCATTTGGGGTCGATCGACCATTTCACGGGGGTCGCCAAGCAAGGCTGTCCGCCATTTTTCCCCCTTTTCCGGCGGGTGCCTTACCTCCCTTGAGCTGGGCCAGCTGGTGGTCGGCCTGCTCCNGCTTGCCAGCTACGCCTCGGCCGGCGCAGGGGGCGGAACCACGCATGCGCGGCGCTCCCGGGCAGGGAAAGTCCTCGACTTACGACCGGTTGGGTAGTCCTCGACTTACGACCGGTTTAGTCCTCGACGTACGACCGGTTTAGTCCTCGACTTACGACCGGTTGGGGGTCGCGGCATTAAAAAGGTTGAGAACCACTGACTTAGATGCTATTTTTTATCAGTTCGATTTACACCGCTAAGGTCACGTAATAATTACGGTAATAATTATACTAGCAAGGAATTCACTCTCCCATCCCCTACTTTATATGGCATGTTTAAAAGCTAAGTAGTCAGGTGACCCCCCTCAGGAGAGGTCTTCTCAATATAAAGCCTCACACTTCATACACTACAAATTGTCACTCTTCTGTTTTCCAGTTTGCTGTTTTCTACAAGGGAGATGAATGCCTAGGCAGTGGCATGATTCTGAGACTGGGGCCTTCGGTTTTTACTTTGCAACAGGGCAAGAACAGAGAGACTACCGGTGTGAACATAACAGCTGACGAGGTCACAGTACAGCCGACCAAATGACTTCTTGCTTTTTAAAAACCAACCAGAGGATGTTTTTTTTTTTTAAAAAAAACAACAACAACTAGTTAATCAAAAGCTTTGGAATGATCATCAGATACATGAATGCTCATCTGGATGTGTTTGGAATTTATCTGAAAAAAATAAAACAGTTGTGACTTATGAAATGACTCTTCTTGGTGAGAAAACGGTTACCTTTTCTCATCTCTTGAAGCCCAGCCCTGTGCAGAAGTTAAACAGAAGGCGACAACATCCAAATAAGTGTGTATAGGGTTGCAACGTAATATATACTGTTTGAAGAATCCCGTTAAGCTCATGCAAATACGTTTTCTGGAATGTGGATTGTGGCTAAATCTACTGTTGGGTGATCACAATAGACTTATTTATCCTCTTTCTCAATATTTGCCTTTTGGTCGCCCATCTTGTAAACTTTCAAACCAGAAAGCCATTTTTGCAAATTGGAAGGCAAAGTTACAGCTCAAAGATAGGTAAGAGAATGGAGGGTGAATGTTGGGGATATCTAGAGATCTCTTTTTTCCCCCTTACTTGTTGAAAAATGAATGAAGCTTCTGAAGGAACTCATAATGAAATGTCCTAGTATATGTTAATTGAAGTGCAATAACTAGAAAAATTTCTTGGCTCTTGAACGTGCCAGTATCTTCAGATAATATTTTGAAGAACCTGCTGATATTTGCCTTTAACCATGAAAAGGCTGCTTTGTGTAATCTCTTCAGCTGTGTTTAGGTATTCCAGCACCCAACACAATTGTATTGGGAAGATGATTGGATCAGGTTCACATTTTCTGTCCCTCTCATCTTTGTCATTCTCCACAGGTTAGAGCAGGCATGTCAAATTCGTGACGTCGCGTGACGTATCGGAGCTTTTTTGCCATTGCCGGCAATGGGGTGGGCGCGGCTCCGGTATGATGAAACCGGCCCACGGGCCGACAGTTTAGCACCCCTGGGTTAGAGGGCACAGATCTCCAGTGAGGATCCTGCTTTTTACAAGCAGATGCCCCATCAAGCCTGGGACATGCCTAAGCAGAGCCATAGTTTACTGCATGCCTTGAAATTATGGACAAGAGGGTGAAAATTATGGACAAGAGGGTGAAGAATAAGCCCCTTAATAAGCTAAAGCATAGCACTATATGTGGCACTGAAAATCATTGAAGAAAATGGCATTTTCCTGTTCTGCAATTTTAACAGAAATCATTTTAATGGCATATCTGCACTACGTAGATATGTGGAAAATGCTAGTCTTCTATACAGCCTGCTTATTTTAAAGAGGAAAATCTCATAGATTCATATCAAATCCAAAATTTGTACAATGTCTTTTTTTCCTGTACTTTAAAAATGAAATAAGGTCTCTTTGGGGAAAAGGGTATTTATGAGTCAGATTCATAATTGCGTTATTATTTCAGAATTTTCATTTTTGACACAAATTACTGTCAAGTTGATAGAACATCATGAACTGTACCTATGTAATTAAATTATTAAATCATTCCTTTAGGTTTTGAAAGCTTTTCTTATGTATTGCAAGCAAACAAAAGCTTATATTTTGTAAAGTAAAAACGCTTTAGATTTTAGTGATTATTTTACAAATAACCTGAAAGACTCATAGAACAACATTTCAGTCAATTAGCTTTTAATCGTGTTTTCTATTTCAACGTGTGAGAGAAAATATTTTGAGAGAAGAGGCTATGAGCAATGGTGAAGCCTCAAGTTGGAACAAGCTGTTCTCCCATGAAGACCAAGGTTGGCTTTAGAGCTGCATCATAGCAACCAGAGTTTCTACAGTAACAAAATGATTCAGCCCACATGACAGGTTGTAGCATCTGCAACTACCTCCCCCACTTTTTTTCTGCCTAGACCAGAAGATGCTGGAATACCTGTACTATAAATGACTATATTCACAAAGAAAAAAATATGTCTGTAATAATAGCCTTATCAAGATGATGTACATTTTGTCTCTTTCCTTCACTATCGGGAAATTCCGTACTATTAGTACAAATTTTTGTTTGATCTTTGGAGATGAAAAAAATAACTTGGTAGGGAGGATCCTTACCATCAAGTATGTAATTGTTCCCTTTTGCATGACAATTTAGTATCTTTACTAAGTCAAGGGAAATTATTGAAAATGACAGCAGTGGGACTTGGAAAGGCAATCTCCCTTGCTCAGACAGACTGATCCAGTTATTTCTATAGGTGCAGGCTCAGGGTATCCACAGGGTTGAAGTCAAGATGGCTGCTGCAAAAGCACAATTGTGTGCCATCTTGACAGCAATGGGACTTGGAAAGGCAATCTCCCTTGCTCAGACAGACTGATCCAGTTATTTCTATAGGTGCAGGCGCAGGGTATCCACAGGGTTGAAGTCAAGATGGCTGCTGCAAAAGCACAATTGTGTGCCATCTT